AAAATAAATGTTTTAAAGGTGAGACCAAGGGGGGTACCAATGTAATGTGACAAAGTAGAAATAACGTTAACTGAAAGTCAGATGGCAGGAGGGAAATCAAATGAGCTCACTGATGGGTTTCCTGGCAGAAGCTTGGGGATTAGGATTACCCATAATGTGTTTTTATTTTTACCCACGTTAACCTCTGGTGATGCTCTTCATTTCTTTCTACTCATCAGAGATTACCTCTGGGATAATTTCAGCCTGAAGAACTTCCTTCAATGTTTTGTTTTTTTTTTAAAGTAGAGATAGGGTTTCCCGTCTGGCTGCTGTTGTCGGGGCCCTTCAGGAGGATGAGGTGGGAAAGTGATCCTGGGAGTCGAAGCGTGAGCCACCACACCCAGCCGGATCCAGCTCTGTTGGTAACAAATCATAGATTATCTCAGCGTTTCATTCCCTGAAAAAATATTTATTTCACCTTTCTTAAGAAGGATGTTTTTGCTGGGAGTGGAATTCGGGGTTGACAAAGTACGTGTTTATGACAAGTCTCGCTCTGTCACCCAGGCTGGAGTGCAGTGGTGTGACCTCAGCTCACCGCAGCCTCCACCTCCCAGGTCAAGCAATTCTGCCTCAGCCTCCCGAGTAGCTGGGATTACAGGCATGCACCACCAGGCCTGGATAATTTTTATATTTTTAGTAGAGATGGAGTTTCATCGTGTTGGCCAGGCTGGTCTCGAACTCCTGACCTCAAGTGATCCACTGCCTCAGCCTCCAAAAGTGCTGGGATTACAGGCCTGAGCCACCACACCCAGCCAACAGAGTTTTTTAAATGTTTTTGTTTACTGCCTTTCAGCATTTTAAATACATTGTTCCATTATTTCTGTTGGGAGGTTAGTCGCCATTGTCTTTCCCTTTGAGGTAATGTGCCTTTTTTGTCTGGCTGCTTTCAGAGGTTTTTTATCTTTGGTTTAAGTGTCTTGGCTATGGCTTTCTTTGCATTTATCCTGCTTGGGATTCACAGAACTTACTGGATCTGCAAGTTGATGTCTTTCATCAGTTTGGAAACTCTCTGGCTGTTACCTCTTCAAACATTTCAGCTTCATTTTCCCTGTTCTCCGGGACTGCAGTTACCTGTATAGATGACCATTCCGTATTATTCCCCAGGTCTCTGATACTCTGTTCTGGTTTTTAATTGTTTTTCTTTCTTTTTGTTGAAACAGGGTCCCACTCTGTCACCCAGGCTGGAGTGCAGCCTGTGGTCATAGTTCACAGCAACCTCGGCCTCCTGGGCTCAAGTGATCCTCCCGCCTCAGCCTCCTGAGTAGCTGGGACCACAGGCACATACCACGCCTGGCTAATCTAATTCTTTGTAGAGATGGAGTCTAACCATGTTGCCCAGGTTGAGCTCAAGTGATCCTCCTGCCTCGGCCTCCTAGTGTGCTGGGATTATAGGTGTCAGCCACTGTTTTTATGGTTTAAATTTGCTATGAATTTTCTAGTTTCTTGAGATGGAAGTTTAGACCAACAGTCTTAAACCTTTTTTTTTTTTTTTTTTTT